AATCATCTAAAACTGCACTATGTCTGTGATTAGACATCTGCATCAATTCCAGGAACTTTTAAGTACCACCAATATTTTCCAGTTTTCTTAATTCAAGACTGAATTTGGACTTGGTGGAAGTAAATCAAAACAGAAAGATGAATTCTGGTTCCTGTTCTTCTGGAATACTGATTCATATACATTAACAATTATATATAAATAAGATGCAATTTAAAGTAATAATCTTAATTCTTAGTACAAATTATTGTGCTTTCCAACAGGTTGTTTGCACTGCTCCTCCTCCCAGTCAAACAGCCTGGGTAACAAACTGCTGTTCAAAGAGCAGTGTGACTGTAAACAGTGTGTGTGAACAGAGACTGCCTGAGAAGGCATTTGTTCAAAACTGATAATCTTAAAGAAGATCACCATGAACCAGACTGAACAGTAACCATAAAAGCAGAGACTTGAAAAAAAGAAGTAGTCATCTTGAAAATTAGTATAAAAGCAGCACAAAAACTTTTAACAGCAGTGGCAGAGAGGGCTATAATGCAGCACTCATAACCTCATTCAGCCTCAGAAGTTTCCCCACGCCCTGCATCTCCTGCGCAGATGTGAGTGCTTCCTCCCTGCTGGACACCACCTCTCAGCACTCCAGCTAAGGTCTGAAAGTACTAAATGCAACAATTAGGGGCCCACACCTCGGGTGTGTGATGTGACCTCCTGAGGTGATTTCTCACCAGTGCATGGATCGGCATGCTGCAGAAAGGCCAACAGGCACACGTAACAACGGAGCAGCCCCACATGTGCTCAGCACCCCAGAGCACACACAGGAGGTGTGTGTACACAGGGAACTTGCACTCTCAGGAAAAGGCATGTGCCCTGGCAACCTGAAGAGGCCAGGTGGATGTGTGGGATGAAAAACATTAGGGATTAATTCCTGATTGATGCTTAGAGATTTTCAGGTCTATCGTTAAGATTTTATATGTGTGTTAATATTGTGATTTACCTTTGTACAGTTGACGCTGATTCTGAATGTATAGTTCACTGATTGCTAGCTATTTACATTCCACTAGTTAATCAGAAAACCTCCTGATTTGATTCAAATTGAGCCATTTTCCCCTGCAACATTTTCCCCATCTAAAAAGTTATAGTTTTGTATTAAAACCTCTGTTCTATGTTCTAAAATCCTTTTGAAAAATGAAAGCAACAGAATTACTTACAGAATATGCCTTTATTTTTGTAGCATCCTGTTCTTTTTGCTCTTCTAGTTTTTTCATTTCCTCTTTAATATCTTCTGATTCTTTCTGCCAGCTTTGCTTTTGACTAAAACAGTAACGAATTTTCACTTATTATGATGAAAAACTTGATGATTTTTAAAACTGTAACTTTAATAGCAACTCTGAAATATTGCAAACCAAAGTACTTACTGTGAGCAGTAAAGTAATTTGAAAAACACATTATAAATTGTAGATGGATTACTGAAAAACTATCTCCTCTGTTTAGGCTGCAGCTGGTTTAGTGATGAAAATAATTCTTCAGTGTCTTACTTCTTCTTCAAATGTGTATTATAATGGGGAGATAGAGATGCCTTACTTTCCTTCTTTTCTGCCTGTAAATCTTTCCCTCTATTACATTCCTTTTTATTTCAGATGCATAAAGGACGTAACTTCCCACTCTTGTTCCGTTATTTCAGTGAAAAACAGCTTCACTTTGGCCCAAACTACTCTCCTCTATCCATTTTTATTTATTTATTTAGAAACAAAAAAGACTATGAACTGTTCATACAAATCTAATAAACAAGTTTCTACAGATTGTATGGCATAATTTATGCTAGTTTAAAAAAATAATCAAGGGTTTTTCAGAAGTAGTATTTTCTCTTTAAAGAAGATACCTTAGTTTCTTCCACAACAGAATAAAATGGAGAAGAAGAAAATTCTCTCAAAGTGACTATATGGGATGCCAAGTTGAAGAATCTCATCCCATAACTTCAATCTGTAACCGTTTCAGAAAAGTAGCCTTAAATCATCATCTTATCCCTGTTATTGGAGATATCTAATCTAGGAGTAAAGGAGGCAGTGTATTACAGCCTTCAGTAAAAAAGCCACAGCTTTAATGCCTTGAACAGAGATAAAACTGAATGGGAATCTTAACTGATTCAATGAACAAACAAAAGTCTCTAAAAGATTAAATATCCTTATTCCAAAAGCCATCCAGTGACTGTTATATTCCAATTCAAAGAGACAGAAGACTCAACTAACAGTTCGTTAATTGAAAAGCTAAATCACCATTTTCATCCTTGTGCTCCTAACAGATGAAAAGCCTTTTTTTTTTTTGACATTGAGAAGAATTTTACAGAATTTAGATTCATTGAAGCATATAAAGGAACTAAGAGTCTGAAAGAAAACCAACCACGAAGTCCTGACAACCTGAAATTTTCAGAGATCTCTGACTGTATTTGGATAACAGTGGTTTCTCTTCATCCTCAGAAAAACTGTTAGAACCCACACTTGAAAGCAAAATGAGACTGAAAAGTCCACAACACCAGGTTCTAATAAAATGCAAGATATCAGACACAGAAAGCTCAATGAAGTCCTTATGATAAAATACGCAGCATCAGAAGAGTTCAGCAAAAATGGGTTTGTAGTTTCCTGAATCTTTACAAGGCTAAAGAAAATATATGGAGTCTATATCCAAAAGAAGCAGCATTTATTACTTTAACCAAAGAACTACTTCAAAACAACGGAAAATCATATTTCGAAATTGTTAATTATTTAGATAATTGAGCTTTCATAATTCAGAAAAGAGAACAATACCTTTGATATTCTTTATACAACAAGCCTTGCTGATGACGAATTACTGCAAATTTTCGCTTATAGTCCTCTACTGCATCTTCTAACTGTTTAAGCAACTTTTCTTTGTTTTCCAGTTCCTTTTGATTTCCAAGTAAAAAAAAAAATTATTAATATAGGTTTTAAACATTACATTATTAATTTGATCAAAATGCCAGTCCTTTGTGTTTTCATGATAGATGCCTCCATCATGAACAATGTGAACTAAAGATATAAAATGTGTATTTTTTTTAGGAGCAACAGATGAAAAACCATGAGCTCTGGTATTCCAATAATAGGTGTAAAATAGTGCACAACTGCACTGTGGGTTACAGCCCTCAAAGTTAAAAACACCATGACCTCTTGCTAGCCCATAAATAATACTAGCTGCATGTCTAACTGGAAAACAACATTTTTTTCCTCATGCTCCCAAATACTCTCCTAACTTATGAGCATATAGAGTTGAAAAAATATTCTCTAATGCAAAAAAAGTGATCAGAGACAGAAAAAAAAAAAAAAAAAATAGAAAGAAAACTTTTTTTTAACTTCTACTCTGAACGAGTCAATTCTTCATGACAATGTACCTGTCTGCTCTGCTTCCCACGGAAATCACTGGCTTCTGTTTCAATGAATTTATGCCTCTTTTTAAAATTGTTGCTTTGGCAAATAATGGAATGAAAATTCATATGGCAAATTAGTAGAGACCTTTGCCCTATAGGGAAAAACTGTTCAAGTGGGATTTGCACATGCAGATTCAGATGTGGAATTCAGAGAGCAGTAAGAGATAATTTCTCATATAAAAAGTGAAACTGCAGAAGTAGAAGGAAGAGTGTAAATATTTACATCCACATTCAGATTTTAACCAAAAAATCTGATTTGCTGTCAAATATTTAAAAAGCTTACTGGATGTTAGAACATCAAAATAATTTTGAAGAGTTCTTTCATGTCCGTACACGACATGGTGTTAGATTTTGGAGGAATTAGCTACATTATAAATACTCTTGATATCAAGGAATATATGGGTTATTTACCTGTATAAGACGTATTAAATACTGGTTCAGAGAATTAATCGTATTAACACTTGAAGGAATCATTCCTTCTGGAAGATTTACTGTTTGGAAGACAATATTGGGACCTTCTGACTGATGCAGTAAGCAAATCTCATTTTTCAGTTGTGCAATCTAAAAAAAGGATACAAAAACATAAAGTAGCTCTTGCTATTCAACTAGAAAAATGGAAAATATATGGCTTCCTTGTGTTATTAGCTACTTTTCACTTTTATTCTAAAGCTTTCCAAAGCATCTAAAATAAGCTTTTGAAAATTCTGTGATTCCATAAATCATTAAATGCATAATATCTTTACCCAAATTTATCAAATAACTCCAGCAATCAGGGCAACTAAAAATATCACCACAGGTTTATTTGAAATTGTTTAAAACACAGTGTATTTCTGCTCCTTTAATAAGATTAAGTTTTATTGCAGTGGTTATTCGACAGCTTATTCTAAAATCTTCACCTTTTCATTTAACTTAAAAGCTCTCTGGTTCTCTAATAGTACATAAAACACTATTCTACAGTATTAGATCCTAGCAAATCTTTTTGCATCACTAAAGCTATTATAAAAGACAAATTTAAATCTGGCTTCTTTTAAGATAATATCACATTCCTCATTCCTTTCCTGGAAGAAGTATTCCACAGAATGAATTGTACAACTTAAAACAAGATACAGGATTTTAAAGAATGATTCATTATATCAAACACTTATTTTCTGTTATTTATTTATAAGTAACAGATGCAAGACTCCTGACTTTTTTAAAGAAATAGATCTGTGAGCTTTTCTGGGCACAGTACTCCCCCAAAAGAGAGGCACATGTGGTGTTTAACATGATAGAATATTCCAAGGATGAAGTAACGTTAAGAAGAGCAAGATCTGAACTTAAAATGCATGAATTGATAGCTCCAATATATAAATTTCAGTAAGATTTGTATAATTACATTGTTTACATAAGCTAAATTCAGCATCTTATAGATTGTGTGGTTCTAAATTATCAGAACAGCCACTTTTGAAGTACAATATAAATTATATAAAATAAAATATTTACCTTTTCATTTGCATTTGCCAACTGATTAGACAAACTTGTTGCCTCCTTCTGAGTCTCTTTTAGCTCCTGCCTTAATTCCTCATTTCGTCCTGTAAGTTGGTCAACCTGAGCTTTCAAGTGCACACCAGCATCAAAGATTCCCTCTGAATTCTTTGACTCCATTGCCTAGTGCAGTAAACGTTTAATTAACAGAACATAGGAAAAGTGAAGAAAAGCTTTAACGTTTTCATAATAAACTGGAGCCCTCAAGTTTAGACTACATGAAATTAGAAAAAAGCATGACATTTTAACATTCTAAAATCTACTTATCAGTTCCCTGATGTTATATTTGCCATATACTGTGATTTAAATGGTTAAACTTCCCTGTAAAAAACATAATTTTTGGAAATATGTTTGAATAAAGAATTTTTAAAAAACATTTCTTGCAGTACCCATAGCGATAAAAGAAATGCAAAGCATTACCTAGGCTTTATCACTGGCACAATAAATTTGACATCAGATAGTTTTATGCTATCCAGCTGAAGTTAGGATTTCTTTTTAAGTCTTATTGGCTGTTTCTCCTTTATATTTCTAATTTATATTGTTATAGAGGAATCACACTCTATACTCCTAATTGCAACTATGAAAGAATATATACAAGGAAACTACTATTAAATTATACAATAACCCAGTAACTGAGGAGGAAAAGAATACCCCGTAAATTCCATAAAGCTAAATAATACTTTAGAAAGCAAACTTACATGAACTAAACGATCCAGACTAGGGATTACTAAGGCTGTTTCTCCTCCCTTCATACTAGAATCCTTCTGCATTTCCTTGACAGCCTGCAGTATTTCCTTCATTCCTTGTTCAAGTTGCTTATTCTCTTCTGATAACTCTTTTACTATATTAAAAGTTGTAAATGTGTTTAAAAGCACAGGAAAAATGAGTTAAGGTTTCCTAGGACACTTCATCATGATACTTGTTGATTTGATAAATTAAAAGAATGTTCATATTGTACATAGAAATAACCAATTAGGAAATTAAAAGCAGAGCTGCTAGGAATATCTGAACAGTATATTTTACTGGTGAAACATTAACACAGTAATAATCAAATACGTCACAGGAACACAACTGACTTTATTGAACTTTCCAGTCTTCAATGTTTCCTTCCACTTTTCAAACTTCTTTAGTAGCCTATCAGACTTCCAAAAATCCAGAAACATGTCTATTTTGGAAATGTTTGGGTGTAACAATGGAGTACATTGGAATTGCCTAAATTCCTTCTGCAGATTGAGAAAAATGGACATTTAAATTATGTGGCTATCAAAGACACTCAAGAAATACAATTTTCCTGCCACCAGTAGTTTCTCAATGGAATTCCAGTTTCTAGCACAGAGCAAGAAGTCTGAAAACTTGAATAAAACACAATAAACCTTCCAGGACATTCTCTGCATCCAAACAATATGTCTAAATGTCATGAAGACCAGCAGTGAACTGCAAAATCTGTTTCACCAAGTGTATTTTGAAAAGTCAAAAAGAATTTCAAGAATTCACATTCTCTGGGAAAAAACTAGGATTCTTGCCCAGAGAAATTTGCATTATTTTTACTTCTGAGTTTGCAAGGGGTACACTTCAGCTAACATACATATATAAGTAAGCAGCAAGTTTGTTTAATTTCCCAATGTCTTTCAATTGTCTTTGAGCCATGAAAGCTCTACAATTACACAAGTAAATTCTGGGATTATTCACAGGTTTAAAACCCTTATTAGGTCTGAATCAAGAAGGAAAAACATAAGAGAGCCCATTTTAATGAATTTAGTATGGATAAACTATGTGTCATATACTATCACTAATTTAGCAACACTATATATATATATATATATATATATATATATATATACATACTAAGACATACACGAATATAAACACAAACATTTTTTTAAAAGCCAGAAATTTATGGTCAAAATTATAGAAAAAGAACAACTAAATAAGCAAAGTATCTACCAGTACCTGATAATATTCCCTAGTTCTAAACCAGGTTGCAACTTACATTTAGATTGAAATCTGGCTATTACAGTCCTGTTCTTCTCCAAATCTCTCTCTCTCTCACTTAATTCAGTTGCAAGATATTCATTCTAAAAGAAAAACAAACAAATTCTCAAAAACTGTAATTTAGGAATTTTAGTATTAGAAGTTTCATTAAGACTGCGGTTAAATAAGAATAACTGCTTGAAAATACTGTTAATCTATATCTGCTCTATAGTGAAATTACATAGTATGCAAACCATATAGGTACTATATAAAAAGCAACAATCAAAGAAATAGGCTCATCTTCACAGCAATAAAATTAGCAGGAAAAAATTATTTAAGCCATAAATAAGCTTTACATAAAATATTTATCCTGTTTAATTGTTTGTTGGTTTTTTTTACAAGCTTCTGCTGCCTGCACTGCCTGGTTTCTGTAATTCTTTTTAACTATTTAGCACACTCTTAGCCAACAAATCTCTGGGTATCTGTTCATTCTAAAAAAACTCAGCAGTGAGTTATTAGCATAGGATTCTACCTCCATTTACACAAACATTTAACAAAAAAACAAACAACCCAACACTTTTTTTCTACTGAAAATGCAATTAGGAGGCATTATTAATTTCATGGCTTGGTTGATGCTATTTGAAAAGAAACCACATCAGCAAAGCATAGTACTATAGCATGGAAAACCTGTACAGCTGAAAAAAGTCTGATGAATACAGATATATACTTTCCACTGATCAGTCACACAGTTCAACAGCCTCAACAGGAATAGCATCAGTTTCAAAATATTTTGTTAAAGGTAGGAAAGACCTTCTGTTTAATTTATGCATTGAAAACAGGTTTCCTCATCACATTATTAGATGGTTTCCCTCAGACCAAAAATACACAGAATCTAGTTTTAGCAATTTAATTTTAGTTCCAGACTTTTTCAAATTTGGAGTATGCATTCATGAAAGTTTGCCAGTCCATATACGGATTTCTTGCCTGAAACGGCAATAGAAATGGATTCACTGGAAGAATGACACAAGGAGTATCCCCATGTAACACTCTCTGGCCATAGGGAAACATGTATTCTTGGGTCATGCAGCAGTTGGAATAGCGGTATGGTACAGACCAAAAGTCTATGAGACTGTGTCATTTGTAGCTGTGGTGATATGAAAATACTAAGAGCTTCAGAATTACACTTGTGATTAATTAGGCACCACTCTATCATATGTTTTGAACCTAAATGAACCAAAAAAGTATTTCTAATTTTTTTCCAAGTGACCTGAATTCTCATGTATGCCAGAAGTTCTTCTAGGTAGATTTCCAATGGCCTTACTGTTTTCAGTTATATTTTTCTCTGACTTCAGATGTTCAGCTGGGCTTACTCTATCTGCAAGTCTGTTTCATACTTCCACTTCACATGAGCTGCTAGGCTGTATTATACAATTTTCACTAGTCTTCTAAAAATAATACAAATTATTCATGTTTGGATTTTTAAAAGCAGTTAATAAAAGCAGCTTAATAAAGACTTGAATAGACATTTACAAAATAGTGGGGGGGTATAATTTTTGAAAGAGAAATACAATAAATGTTCATGAACCTGCTTTATGGACCTACCTTTGCTTTTATTTCAGCAATGTCATGTCTGGTCAAGAAATCCAACTTCCTCTTACTCATTACCTTCTCTTCAGTAAAGCTATCAGTCATCTGCATATCGTCAGCATCCAATTCTAATTGCAAGGAGATGTACAAGTAATAAATTATTATGAAAATTTAACTGGTCTCCAAGCAAAGGATTATATTAAATTTATTATATCTGAGTTCTAGTTTTATATCTGCAAAGTAAGAAGCTGTAAACCTTTCTATCTGAACACATTATGCTACCCTGAGCAGCACAGAATTGAAATTTTAGGATTTTTGTAACACATATGTTAAGTACATTACTGGAAATTCTGCAGAGATCATCCTGCATCCAAGAACTGCAAGGCAATGACACAAGTCTCAGCGACACATTACAAGTCATCATAACTCAAGAAAATACTGGGCTGTAAGACTAGGAAATCTAAAACCACTCACCTCTTCCTACAGATTCAACAAAATGCATTTATCCTTTTACTTTACACAAATAAGTAAATATAAAATAGCTACATTAATAAGTGCAGATAGCATGTTTTTGAAAGGACAATTTATAATAAAAAATCCTACCTATTGTTGCAACTCTTCTTCCTTTTTCCTGAGCCAACTTACGAATTTGTTTTTTCAGTTCAATTCTTTCCTCTTCCAGCCTTTCAATCTGCACATTATTATTCACAGCTTAGTATTCCACTTTGTTCAAATGCATTTTTATTACACAGCTCTTATGCAAAAATAAGATTTATCACTTACCTCTTGCAAAAGAATCTGGTTTTCAGCTCTATATTGCTGCTGCTTCAGCGCTTTGCTGTTTCTGAACTCACTTAAATCAATCATTGTCTTTGGCTCAAGACCTAAAACACAGTATATGATATACAGTTATTCATTATGGAGGAACATTAATGTTAGTTAATGCAGTTAATTTAAATAAGAATATAATTTGACAAGTAGAATTAAGAAAATAATTTGCTCATAGTTGAACATATTTCAACTATCTATAAAAATATGTAGCTATCCAGATAACATATGCACACATACTCCATGTAATAACAACAGAAGAAAGCTTAATTTTACTTCAGTTACTCAGTACCCAAAATGCAATAAATTGTCACTTAAAATTAACTTTATTTACATTTAAATTATTCTATTTAAAAATAAGTCTGTCTGAAGTTTTCTTCGTGTTTTTCCATCTAGCATTACAACTTCAGTATGTTATGGTTTCCAAATACCATATGATGAAGTTTATTAAGCAGTGTGTGGTCAAAGAGGAATCAAAACCAAAAACCAGTAGAGAACCTACTATCTTCAGTAAGAGAAACCTGTAAGCCATGTTTACTCGTGCAGTTTGTCCTAATTAAAACTACTTGCAAATACTAGGAGAATATACCTAATTATTTCCAGTGACTTGGTATAGTAAAATCCATTATAAAATCTTATTTTAATTCTTACACAACACATAATTGAAAATGTACTGGATGCAGCATACCTAAGCGCTCTCTGAGTTCTTCATTTTCATCAAGTAAGTCATTTATTTTAAGTTCAAGTTTATTGATTTCCTTAATTAATGGTTCAATCTCATGTTCTCGTATTTTGACTTGCTTTTTTAAATCTTTGATTTCAGCAACAGCTTCTTCCAAACCATATATTCCCTGTAAAAACCCCAAATGGGAAGTAAAAAAAAAACAACCAATGGAAGACTTACTAAAATAAATCATGAAACTTTCTTTTGTGATTACAAAGATAAGAAAAAATATTTTTCAACCTGTATCACTCCTTTGTACTACGCTTATTGAAAAAATTTACTGAATAAAAAGCAGATCCCACATATCTGATTACAGAGGAGTCTGCACATTTTAAGTGAGCCCTGTTACTACATGATTCTTTGAAGAACTGGGAAGGGAAGGACAAAATGATCTCCTAAACATATTATTAAAGACCCTGTCCACTCTGAGTTTACCAGTTCATAGTCTCTCATTCGTTTCAAAGTCTCAACAAGCTCTTTGTCCTTTTCTCTGGCATCTGCTTCTGCTAATTCTGCTGATTTCTCAGCCTCCATAGTTCTCTGTTCCAGTCTTTTTAACTTTTCTTGTATATCCTCACTGTGATTCTGCTGAGCAAGAGATGAGTGACCTAGAAAGAAAAATTTTGGTATGTTTACAATTCATCTAGGAATTCTTGCTATCTGCCTTTAAGCAAGACAGAAACACTTCAGAAAACATTAGAAAGGACATCTTCATTTTCTGCTCTTTTTAATTGGGGAAGTACAAGAAACTACATATGAAAGGTTGGTTTTGTTTCCCTTCGTTGTTCCTTCTAACAATATTTATCATAAGCAAGCACATGTAAGGGACATTGGAATTTATCCTGAATTGCATGCTATTACTTATTTTCAATTCCTGCTGGAGCTGAGATCATATTTGTTATGCTATAACTTTTACAGATCAGGTATAGTTTTATTACCCATAAAACCCACTGAGATAGTGTGGATAAATTCTTTATGAAAGTTTAATAACAAAAATGAAGAAAAAAATTAGATACTAAAATTATTCAAATAATGCAATTATTTTTTTCTATGTATTTCTTGAGAATAAAGAATGCACAATAAATTTGTGGTCTCTTATTTTCCTTTCCATAGACATTAATACAAAATAGTCATGTTACCTGTATCTTTTTGGAGATCATTTTTTAATTTCTCAATAACGAATGCATTTTTTTCCATTTCTTTGGTGTACTGTTCAACTTGCTCAGTAAGCAATCTTATCTGAGCATCTCGCTCTTGCACACCCTACAATGAGAAAAAACAGAAACTCAATTAAAGGATCCCTCTTTACTGACAGGCAAACTACCAGTACAGAACACCACACAGAAAATGAAGAAATTACACATAGCTAATACAAAGCAATTTGTAGAACATCAAATATACTGTACTTACAACAGAGAGTTCAGATATTATCTAGAAGTTTGGTATATAAACGCAAAGCAGGAAAAATAAAAGAAAAAGTAAAAATAAAGCATTCACACAGAAAAAAAAAGCACTGTAGTACAACAATTTTAAATGGAAACAAGACTCTCAGATTTTGTTAATGTTAGATGAAAAGTTTCAGATGATACAGGTTCTTTACAGTTTCATCAGCAAACAAATGCCCTTGGGAACTGAGAGATACAAGTTCAAGACTGTGAGAACTAACAATCCATCATACACAACACCTGAATTGCAGACTGCCTGTCAGCAAGTAATCTAACTTTTAAAAACTGATCACACGTTGTTTCACATGTATATATACCTTCATATACATACAGACTGTGAAAGTGACTTCTATTCATATTACACTGTTTCTGTGCTTGTATATGAACTTTAGAAACAACACAGAAAGTGCAATGTTATTTTTTTCTGTCATGAATAAAAGAAGTGGAGACAGATAAAAAAGAGACTTGATAAAAAGTTATAGGCAGTTATAATAACAAAAATGTACAAATCTCAAGACTGCTGTCCATTCTTTATACTAGTGTTCTGAAAAAGAAAATCTAAAGCTTTCTTAAAGGACAAATAACCACATTTCAAATCTAAAGGTACAGCAAAGTTTTAAGGAGCTGAATGAAGTCTTTTGAAGTATAAACATACACTGAATGATAGCAAGCTCAGTCCATTTGAGTAAAAACACAGAGCAGTGCCTTGATTTATTTTTTAAGTGTCTTTTTATAAAACATGTTTATTTCCACAAAATGTTTTGGAATGTCACGCTAGTGATGGTCACCTAAAAAAGCAACCTCTACAGCCATTCTAGTCAGCTAAAACCAAACTCTACAACTGCTTATCCAGGTTACTTTCTGCTGCCTTGCTCTTCTGATCATCTAAGGCTGACTTGTAATTTAGGTTTCTTTATCTTGAGAAGTTACCTTTGGAATACTGAATAAATATATCTCACTATATCGCTGAGGCCACAAGAACCCAAAACGTAACACAAGTGTCATTAGATATTTATTTTAAAAACTTGAAGCAAGGAAGGAAATTATCCTGGAATCATAGTGTGCACTACCCATAATGAATATTTCAAGGTTCCTAATAAGCCGTGTTATTTCGGGGTTTTATATGGTTTTCAAGACAGTGAGAGACTATCTTGAAAGTCTTTCAAGACTTTCAGAATCACAAAGAACTATGTAATTTTGCATTAATGTGAGAAAGACTCATATTCATCTAGCCCTATCACAGACTGAACCACAGATTTAACAGTATGGCATCAGATCATGGTATTACACAATACTCTGAGTTGGAAGGGACCTGCAAGGATCATCGAGTCCAGCTCTTAAGTAAATGGCCCATACACAGATCAAACACACAACCTTGGTGTTATTAGCACCATGTTCTAACCAATGGAGCTAATCTCAGCATATGAGATGAACACAGAAAACTAAGCAACAGTTAAGACTCTTCCTTAACTAGCAAATTTAGGACAGAAACTAACCTATATTTTAGGAATATCACATAATAGTTAAAAAAGATAAATATGAAAGTAACAGAACCAACTACCAAGAGTTCAGTTCATACACACACACCTACAGAGAAGTTTCCTTTGTACATTGCCTATTAAGCTAACTCTGCAGTGGAATGAATCGACCTATCTCAGAATTCTCAAACATAAACAATCCATGTTTTGGTATTTCCAAATTATGAAAGACTAAATATATTTTTGATATTTGCATGTTTAGTGAATGGTGATTTCTATGTGTGCAGTTTCTCACATGGACTATACCTGTTGAAGGGCCAGTACGCTGTTTCTGTCAACATCAAGTTGAACCATTTTCATTTTCTCTTCTAAGTTAAACAACATTTGCTGATACTCTAGGATTTCATCATCTTTTGAAGCTAAGATTTTCTGAAAAGAAGATAAAATACCATCAGAACCCTTGAGTTAATTCCTAAAAACCATAAAGAGAAGTATTAAAAAGTACCTTCCATTCTTCAACTTTTGCATTTACTGCTGCCATGAGTGGATCGTCTTCCTCATTCTTTGCTTTCAGCTGGTCTGAAAGGTCCTGAACCTAGACATGACATTTGGATGAACATCTTATCACAAAAATGTTTGGGCTTAACCACTGTATGTGTACAAACACACTACATCAAGCATATAAAATTTAACAGATTAGCATTAAAGCAGCAAGGGAATGACTCTGAAGAACAGTGTATGACTAACATTTTGTACAACAAAATTTTTGTGATCTTTTGTGTTTTAAAATATGCATCAGATTCAAAGATCACACTACTTTTAAAGAGCATTATTTCAGAGGAGTGGGTGTTTTTAACTGGATGGATTGACTGTTAAGCTAAAATATAAAAATATAGTATAAACCTAAAACAAATACATTAATTAATGAGTCAGCTCTTACTTGAAATTTGTACTGATCTTTCTCTTTTCGTAACTGATCCATAATAATGTCAGATTGTTGCACAATTAGTTTCATTTTGTTATATTCATCAGTCATCTTCTCCATTTCTTGAACTGATTCCTCAAGATTTTTCCTCATTTCTTGGTTTTGAATATCTAACTTCTCGTTAGCTTCAGTCAAGTTCTGAAAAATTAAAGAAAAAGCTGCTTTTAGAAAGTGTCCATCTTAATACCTGAATGAGAACTCGAAAGTCTTACATGAAACTAGCACAGAAGAGAGTATTTCATCTCCAGGTCATCAATTTCAACAAATCCTAACAGAAAATAAAAGACACATCTCCCCTTGTCAGTGACTGCATTACCTCTGCCAGATTCATAGATGCAGAGTATATAAATAATAGAACCCAACTACTTTACGAATTCCCTTACTCCATGTGACTCCATTTGTAAACTGACATAGTGTTATGAAAAACACTTTTGTCAGTAAAAGTCTAATAGATGCTCAATAGCATGCATAGATTTTTACCTGAATTTCATCCAAATACTGGACAAGCTCAGAGCTTCTTTTGGACAACTGTGATCTGTAATCAGAGTCCTGTCCTCTTCGTAATGGAATTGTTTCTTTTTGAGAATCTATTTGCCTCTGATAGTCAACTACATCCTGACGTAATTGTTCATTCTGCATGAAAAGTAATCCAAACTTAATGCTATTTCTAAGAGTTGAAGACAAAGTCATTGCATTTCTAGCAAGCTAACACAAAGAGCTAAGACATTCAAAACCCATCCAAATTCCTACAGTCTGCTTTTAAAAAGACTTAGAAGCCTCACCTTTTTCTTTATGCGCTTTTTCTTCATATTAAAAAGGAGAAAACAAGACCAAGAGAACAAAGCACGAAAAATATTAGAAACCAGCTTTGCTTTAGGAAGACTAAATATTAATCAACATAAAGACAAAATAAAATGGCTTTCTATATACCTGTGCATGCCTATACATACCTACACACACATATGTAAAAGAGTATTTTGACAAGTGATTCCCAAGGTTTTACGCCAGGACAATAATTAAACAAATCTACTTGGCAACAGTATTTAGGAAAAATACTAAAAATTCAAAACATGAAATCCAGACCAAATTAACGCACAGGAGAACTACGCAAATTCGAATGTAGACACCTCCTAACCTCAATTACCTAAGTTTCATTAGAGAACACATAGTACATAAATTTCTCTTTCTACCAGTAACTAAGAAATGTCCTAAAACAGAATTAAACATCATGCCACACCAAAACTTATAAATACAGAAAGACAGTAATATACTACAAATAAAGTTAAAAATACAGTAAATTGGCACTAATTTTTTGCTAACCTCTCTCCTGAATCTGATGTTTTCATTTTCGGCATCTTCAATTCGAAGAGCAAGCTACAACAAGATAGAAAACCTTTACATGTATCATTAAACACTACAAAATACTCCAGAAATAAAAAAGAAAATGAATGCACAGCAGTCTTATTTCATCAGTGTTTTTTTCTTAATTTCAGAGGCTCTTTTCAGAACATCAACTTTACAAAACATTTGACAGAACAGCTTTTAGAGATGTTAAGCTGAAGTCCTTCTTACCTGTTCATTCACTTTCTTCTCTTTTTCGAGTTCTTCTTCTACATCTGCTAATTGTCTCTCTTTTTGTTCTAATTGTTTTTCCAGTTGGCGTATCTCATCACGCAAAAAACGAGTATCACGACCACCAGCAGATCTTTGTGCCTTCTTATGAGTATTAAAATAACATTATAAATACAGTACAGATATTCAAAACAGAAAAAAAAATAAAAAACAAAGCAGATGGTAAGACTACAATAAACAGGATTTATTCAAGTATAAAAAAAAAAAATTAATTACTCACACAATAGTGGTGAATATTAAAAAACCCATTAATAGCATTTGCTGAAGTATAGGGCTATTTCATTTATTTAAAAGATTAAAATACTAGTCTAAAAAAACTCACTTAAAAACCTCACCAAAGAGCACTCTATAAACTAATAAAATTTTAAAACATACCTCTAATTCATTTTGAAGTTTCATCATCTTTGTTTTAAAATTATTTTCTGTTAAGATAGAACAGATAAAGTGAATTACTCAACAAGGTAGAAAGCACATAAAACAACAATAGTTAACGTTAGTCTTTAAAAACCTGGCTTCACTGAAGAAATTGATTTCAGATCAGTTGGTATTTTGTCCAGTTCCCTAAACTTAAAGAAAAAGCCAAAAAAAAAACAAAAACAAAAACAAAAAAACAAACCCCAAACAAACAAACAAACCACAAACCCCTAAAACAAACAAAAAAACCCCACAGAAAACAACAACAACAATACTAAAAAATACATTTAACAAATCATTTAGGAATAGCATATTAAAGCTTGTTTACCACATTTGGCTTGCTCTTCCCCAGCTTTTTCAACTTCTTCTAGTGCCAGCTCTACCTCTTGAGTTTTCATCTGAGAAAAGGAGTACAGGAAGCAAAGAAAAAATGTTTACTGCTAATATAAATTAAAATTGTTCTGTACATCCCATGTTTAAAATGATGACAATATTTACAAAAGAATATAGACTTTCTCTCTTTAAACAAATCAAATTATTCCCATTTTTCCTTATGCAGACAATTAAGAAGTTCAGATTGTTAAAAGTATCTTCTTTAGTAATTTATTCTACAGGGACACCCAAACATTCAAAACATTTATACTGCTGAGAATTAAAAACAGTAAAACAGCCTCTCTAAAACCAATGTGCTAGCCTAAACTGCTGTTATTTCTTCCTTTCAGTACATTTATGAATAAATACAAGAACTTATGACAGATTTATAGGATCAGTTTTAGAATGGTGGTGTTTCTTCATTCATGATGATAATTTTATTTGCTCTAAAACTTCAATGTCCCACAAAAAGTTCTATTAAATTAAAATCATTACCAATAACTTACAACATCTAACCAATTTTTGAGGAATTTGTTTGCATTTTCTATCTATATTAGTCCAATTCGCTTCACTTCCCACTACTAAATGTCTACAGCTACATGCAGGTACTCTGGTGCTAGCACACATTTAGCATATAAATTATCTTAGAATAACCAGTGATTTGAGGGGAAAAAAAAAAGAATAATGATGCTCTCATTTAAACAAAAAAATAATCAAATGCATCTGCAGAATTGTAGAAATTGAGGATTAATACAAACCTTCAATAGAGACTGAGTAATTTTAAAAAGGTGTATCAGTTTTTCTGGAGTTTCAGTTTTTAAGTCTTTCCCATCAACCTAAGGAAAGAGACAACAGTGGTTTTATACTAATGTCTATGAAATCCACAAAATAAGTCTTTCATGTATGCGAAGGACCCGAGACAATTTAGAGAACCCTTATGTTCCCTTTTCCTCTTGAGTACCTTGGACATGGTCTCCAGCAATCTGTCTGCTAGTTCCTCTTGACGAGGTAGACTATCTGGATCAACTTTCATAAGTTTCTTCCAATCTAAAATAGGTGCCATACTGAATTTATGATTTTTTTTGCCTGAAACAAAAATAAGAGTTATCAAGTTTTATCAGAGCCAATCAATTGTAGGTCAAATGATTAAATGCAGGCTAGCCACTGAATCACACAAGACGATTCTAATAATTGTATCTATTTGTAACACTGATTAACACTCCCTTCACATTTTGATCTACTGCAAACTAGAAGGGTATAGTAAAACTTTTTTTTCTTTAAGTTAAAAATTACACCATGCATATTCAAAGAATTTTTGACACTAACAGTGAAGATCAGGACACCTGTGAAACCCATATTTTAACTTTAATATCCTTATTTTCTTCCCCATTTCTCAGTGTAGTATTTTTATGCTAATGAACAAACACAACTGGATGCCCCTTGAACCAGCCCTTGTAGAATAAACATCTCCTTACAGTCATAAAAATCATTATTTCTAATATTTAAAACACAACCAACACCACCTTTAGTTTGATACTATGAGCACCCATTTCTTGACACTAATTTATAAGATATTAACTCTTGCAACTAAATATCGGGCGGATTATTAGAATACCTGAATGACAAAGGACATGAATCTACCTGGAAACTGACAAAAATCAGATCAGAAAGTGGTGGAAAGTTTTGTTTTACTGCTTACCTACTGGTTGTTGTGGGCCACGGAGACTTCTCACATGCCTGAAAGCCAATACAGTATCTGAAAAAGGCCGAAGAGATTGAATATCTTGGATTATTCTATCCTCTGGAGCTATCTCTAGCTTTTATGATCAATATTTCAAATGCTAAATTCTGCCAAATTTAAAGCAGAGTATTTTAATCTACTTATTCCCCTAAAATATTTACGTGATATAAATGCTCAAGAAATAATTTTCAATTTTGAAAGAAATAAAACTATCTAGAATAATAAATTATTCAAGAAACTAATGACAGAGTATTCTATTTTATAGAAAAAAAAAAGCTCAATCAGTAACTTTAACTACGCTGAGTATGATATTTTGAGATCTCTTCCGTCATGCACCCTGTTCATCGTTCAGCATGAAAGACTCCAGCAACTGAAAACTCTCTTAGTAAAAGGCTGAAAGCTGAAACCGGTACTACTTTTCCAAAAAATATGCCCAAGCATTCTGAAGAGCTGCAGACCCTTGAAAGCCAGCTATATGCTCAAGGGATTATAAAAATCAACCTTTCCTCATCTTTTCTCAATATGTGAACTAGTCAAGAGCTCTCCAATATTATCTATATTTCTTCAATGTTTGCTAAATATAAAGCGTGCATTAGATATAATCCATGACTTCATAAGGATGACATCATATATACATTTTTGCTTTTCTGCTTTGTTTTATGTGGTAAAGGATAATACTAGAAGAATACTGATCTTGACACTTCTTCAGTTAATTGAATACTACTTGATTTCAATAACATACTTGTTTAAGGATTGGAGTTTTTAAATAGTAATTTTTTCTTAAACAATGAGATGTAGGGCTTACAAATATGAAACACCCAACAATCAAAACTATTCTGAAAGCAAATATACAACCTTATTACTGTCAGTCTTTCCTACCTTCCACCTTTCAAATATCTTTTTCTCTTAACTTACAAAATAATGCCTGAAGAAAATGTCAGTCCTAAAATTTTATCCAAAAGGAGACATATCTGTACATAAACAAAATAATCCAACTTATTAGAGACCATAGTAAGGTATGGGGGCACAACCTACGCATAGAGCATGTTCTACAGTATGTACATACTTAAGGACAAGTGATAATTTATTTAATTGAAAAGTTTTCCACCATAAGATTTAGTTTATCCCTTGCCCTCAATTAAATGTGCATCTTTAGTGGACAGATGATCTGTGTGATGAGACACTGAGATCATGGGTCTACAAAACGTGTGAAATACATATGCATGTGACATTAGTTATCACAAGACTTTCTTGACTTACTCAAGGAATCAAACATAAATAAAAAGGGCAGATGTTGCAAAGTTCAGCACGGGCAGATAGAAAAGGTCTGGTGAGTATGTTCAAGTACAATCAGACCAACAATTCCCATAGTGCCTACAGGAAACCACATAAAGAGGAGGCTAAGGTGACATGAGGACACGTTATCGACAGAATGAAATCAAGCACCAGTAGGCACAGTTGTTCTTTTTCTGCAAAGGTGTGTGTATAATGTCCAGCACAGAGTCATGTACACTTGAGCAAGACCGAATACCAAGAAGTACCACAGTCACAAGGCAGATGTGCTCTGCTAACTCCATTTACTATGGGCAACTCAGATTAAGCTACTTCTGGACTCTCAAATTGCACTACCTGGCCTAGGTCTGCGAAGCACGAGATCTTAATTGCAAAACCCCAACCAAAAGAGGGTCTTTTGCAGGGTTCCAATATTCTCCCAGCTGGTATATTCCAAGCCCCGTCAGTGATTCACTGAGAGCCCGTGATGCCTCCAAGATGCTGCCGAGAGACAGTTTTGCCTCCGTTTCATCCAACTCTGTTGAATGAACAAGTTGCCTTATTCTCGGCCGCCTCCACCACGAGACACAGCAGAGGCATCAGCTGAGCGCAGCCCCGGCGGGACGCGCCTTTCCGGGGCTCCGCACAGGGACTCCGCCCGGGCCCCGCGGCCGCCCCCGCCGCCCCCGCCCGGCTGCTCGCGGCGCTCCCGGGACAGCGCGGGCCGCCCCCGCCGCCGGCAGGTCTGGCTCTCCTTCCTCGAAGCACAGCCCGCCCCTCGGCCTCACCGCTCCCGGGGGATGGCGGTGGCCGCTGCCAGGCGACGCCGTCAGACTCTCCCGCCAGCTCCGCTCCCGTACACCCGGGTACTCATAGGCGCAGGGAAAGTCGGAGCTCCTGCGGTGCCAGGCGGGCGCTGCCCGTCCCGAGGGGCGGGCTGGCAGGCGCGATCCCGCCCGGGCGCGCCGCTCCGCCGGGGCAACGATGCCGAGCACCACCCGCGCACCTGCGCCTACAACTCCCGGCAGGCCTCGGGTCTTCTCCACCCGCCTTCCTCCCAACAGCCTCCGCGGCCCGCAGGGTAGCGGCGGTGCGCATGCGCCGTGGGCTCCGGCGTCAGGAGCGGCTTCAGAGCGTCCCCACGGGCTCAGGTGCGGCCTCAGGTACGACCGGGGCGAGCCGGGCCGGCTGGGTGGCGGAGTAATCGGCTGGGGGCGGCAGGGTGCGCCTGGAGCAGCTGCTGCCCGTGGTGGTCCTTTCTCCGCTGGCTGCGTCTGCCGGGCCGCAGCGGTGCGCCCTCCGCGCCTGCGGTGCGGCTGCGGCCACTCGAGCAGAGTGAGCACGAGCCCGCCCCGGCTCGGCCCCTCCACCGCCCAGCCTGGCCTGCCGTGGTGTGCCTCGCCCCAGGGCTGCGGGCAGCGTGCTCCTTCCTGCCCGGCCGCTGGAGTGCTGCGGGACTGCGCGGGTGCCTTGTGTGGAATAGTGGAGGCCCAGGAGGTGTTCATTCTGCGGAGCGGAATAGTGTACCCGACAGGTAACATCTGTAAACTGCTCCCGTCCATTGGGTACTGGTGACCAGCAGGACAGTCCGAGCTCTGGTAGTGGTCTGATAGCCCAGGAGTTAGGGGTCCTGTGTTTTATTTAAATGGGTGTGAAGGCATCTTTTTGAATAAAAAAGGAAAGCCAGCAACTGTTCGAGGCGGGTTTATATCTTTATATTTGTTCATTCAGTAACTGTGGAGAGCTGAAGGGGGTTTGTTGGTTCGTTTTATTTTTTTTTCTTAATGGAAAGGGGAAGATGATCATGTTATCTTTATGCTTTTGCCTTTTTTCTGGGTTATTCATTGTTTTAATTTTCTTTACTGTTTATTCAATAGTGTTGATATTTAATGAAGGCTGACAAGACGCAAGATGCTTGGCACTCCTTAGAGTTAATGCAACTTTTTCCAGTCACAGCATAGCTCTTAAATCTTAGATTTAAAGGGAAGACTTTTATACCTCATCTAGAGTTAGTTAATTATAGTTGGCCATATTGGCTACAAAAAGCAAACTGTGTAGTTAGGGAAGGGAAAGAGACTAGATTATATTTCACGAATGAGTAATGTTACTAAAAATAAAATTCATTTTGGTGAAGTGTAGAACAATGATTTCTTAGTAGCTGTGACTTTTATAAGTGGAAGAAATGACACACAAAGAATAATGGTGCCTTGCTACAAAATAAACTTTCAGGAAATGGATCCTGCTGTGATAGAGAAAGTAATCTTAGGATGCATTGCTATAGAAACTTTTTTTTTATCCTCTTCATCAGGTTAACAAACTGTTAAGGCCCGTATGGCTATTTAGTGTGCTCTATTTAATGTGCTTCAGGGGTTTTTAGTGTTCTGTTACACAATCCATAGAAAACACACCATTACATATACTGGTAGTGAAACCATATCTAGGTTCTAATTGCATCTAGTAAGAAGATTGGCGCAAGATTTGGATATGAGGTAGGCCTGGAAACTCCAAAAGTGAAAAAAGAGTAAAAAGAACTGAAGTATTAACCCCACAAAAAATGAGAAGACGCTTAAAATACAGCATGGCTGAAACTGAATGAATTAGTTTTTCTTTTGTTCTGCGTCGCATCTAATCACCTGATGAACTTTGCATAAATGGATCTTCTTTTAGTGGGAATATATGCTTTCCGTGTAGTTCTGGAGCAAAAGTTATTATAGGTCTATGGCGCACAGTTTGACCTGCTCTGATTGACAGGAGAGTGGATTCAGTGTTAAACTGCACCTTTGATAACTGGATGCTATTGCAAAGACCTAGTACAAAAACCGCAATAGGAAGGATCTAATGGAATTTTATTTAAAATACCACAAGAAATCATATACAAACCCAGCATACTAAATAAGGACACCTTAGCAAAGTCTAAAGGCTGTGTTTTCAGCTTATACCTCCCATGTAGCTTTTGGTTGGTTATTCTTTTCAGTTAACAAACATGCAGTTTCTGCTGTTGCATTTCTAGAACACTGAGAGTGGTGATTGGTGTTATTTCAAGGACGTTACTTTTGCATCAGTGTCCAGTAAGGAGGCAAACCATTTTTTATGTAGCTACTCAACATAGAACAAGTATTATTTTGTTACTGTTTGAATGTGGTGAAAAAAAACCCAACCCTAGAAACCTGAAGGTATAACTTGTGAGATTCTGTTAATGATTTAAGTTATACCTTAAAATACAAACTAGACCTGTGTGGTTTGTATTGCAGCTGATTTGTACCAAGTTGCATTGAACAAATTTAAGTTAACCACCAGCTAAATCGTATTTTCATCTCACCCACTTTAAAGTTGTGTAATGTTTTGATCCTTGTTGTACCAAAGTAACCTAAAATGTCCTCTGTTAGTTCAGCTGCTTGATTGCCAGCAAGCTCTCCAGTCATCCCCTTGGGAAAACTTTCACCTGGCCTGCGAGATGTTTTGACTTTGTATCAGAGCTGCCAGTCCTCTTCTGATTGATCCTTCAGAGCCATATTGTTATAAGTTACTAGCGGTAATTTAAGAAAGTTGAGAAAGCAAATGCAGAATAACAAGCCAATTTATTAGTAAGCGGTAAATGAACAATCACGGCTCGCCGGGGGGACTGCTGGAACTTAGGTTCTCACACAGTTCGCCCGCCTTCGACCTCTCAAACTCCCTTTTTGAACCCTGTGGGCTCCTGTTTAGACATGCTCAGTACTTAGATTCTTATTTATACATGGTCCGGGGCATGTGCTCTCCGCACATGCTCAGTTACAAAGTTTCTCCCATACATGTTCTCGGGCAGGGCTCTCTGGCGCCGGTCGGCTGGGGGTTTCTTTGTGGGCTGGGGGCTTTGCGAGGAAGATTTCTCCTTTTTCTTTGTGTTCGGCAGATGACCCCAGCTTGGAATATGTGCATTTAAAAGGTATTCTCCTCCCCTCCCAGGCTTATCACATTCCTTTTGATTTCTTGTTTAGGGGAGCCTCTCCGTGTCTCCAGACTGTCGCTTCGGATGATGTTATCAGGGCCCTGTAAGTTACAGGCTCAGCTGTTTAAAAAATTTAAATTTAGGAGTGCCTCTTGGTTTTCTTCCACCTCTTAGAGTTTTCTGTTGAACTGTAAATATGTTTTAAACAGTTCAGGACCTTCAGTGGTTATCAAAGTTTCTGTCTCTATAATGAATAAATTTCCAGAAATGCCTAACTACTTTTTTAGCAAACAGTCATAACGCGTGTTGTTATTAATGACCTTCAGAGTGTGAAAAGTGCCATTACCCCTTAGAAGGAAAAAATTAAATGTATGTTTTAAGTTTCTGAAGTAAGATAGTAAGATGTGTCTTACTATCTAACTTACTTTTGCAAATATAGTTGCTTCTGTGACGGTCTGTTAATATAAGGTGGCAGATAGCTAATTGTGGAGTGCTAAGTAGCTGTTGCACGTTTAGGGATTGCAGCTCTGTTCTTGCCAAAATACACACTTCCTATGTTTTTCTAAATTGATATAGACAGAAAATGTCTTCTGCACTCGCCAGTTTCCCAACTGAGGATACTTTTAGAACATCATTATGCCTTTTTTTATTTGTGTTGGAGTTTTTCTGTGGAGACTGCTGTATTTTGCAGCACGTGGTGCTGAACCATCTGTAGTGTTATGGATTTAGTAGTGATTGTAGAGAAATATTTTGTTTTCCTACTTTTCTACAAGTGCTTTGGCTTTAGGTTGTTGTTGGTTGTTTTTTTCTGTTGGTGTATTTTTTCAGTTTTGCAGGGTTTTCTTATGTCTTGTTTGTAATTTTTGGAGGAGAAGACTGGATGAACTATTAGAGGGATCTCAAGAAGTTGGAAGAGGAAAACTATATCCCTTACAAGCTGAACTACTTTGAGATTTCCGAATCTCTGTGGTCCTTTCTGCGTAGTCTCTCTGTACAAACACTGAAACACTGCAGTGCAAAATGCAGATTTCTGTGCCAAACAGCTTAAGAAATTTAGACCAACAATTGGGTGTTTTGCACAGCTTGGGTATTTTTTCCACAGTTGGCTCTCATGACTGTGCAGTTTCTGACTCTCAAGGCTTATCTTGCTGTTTAATGTTTTCAACTGTGTATTCCTCATGACATGGTCAGATATTATTGTAAATTAGAACATGCAACAGAGGTCTTTGTAATGAAGTATGTGTCTGTCCTGATTTCATGCAGTCAAAGGGTGGCTCTGTGGCTGTGTACTAGACCATGAACTGGCAGTCATACAACCTAAAGGGTGGTTAAGGTATCTGATGGCCAGCCTTAGAAGCTGTGAAAGTACCAGGTAGGTAAGATGAAAAAATGACTCGAGGGATTGTCAGTCTGTTTACATGTGTAGGACCTTCAGTGGTTATCAAACAGTGATGCAGTTCTCTCTCACAGCAAGTCTGTTAAGAAAGAAGTTGTTAGTCGGTGTTTTACAGGTGTTTATCAACACATCTGTCACTTGGAGTGGTGAAATACTGGCACTTGCGAGACCATACTTGGGTTGATCAACATGTCTGTTGGGTAAGAAGTGGAATGTATCCATTCACTTGAGAAGCCCAATCATACCGAGGCTTCAACAGTCTCTTGCACATCTGTGATTTATGAGATTCTCAGTCTTGTGTACTCCTTGCGTGGTTTCTTATTTTCCAACATCAAAGTGATAACAGATTAGTTGGCATGAGGAGAGTTTTGATTGTGAAGTAACAATTGCTGTTTTCTACTTGAGATTAATGGCAGGCATAGTTTAGTCTGGCTTACCAAGTGCAGATGAGCTTTTATAAGCCTCCCTCTGCTGTGTTTTTTTTTTAGTTTGATGATTGCAGGTTTGAAGCTTGGAGTGTGATGGTGGACCCAGCAGGTTGGAAGTAGTAGTTCTACTACAAAGAGTAGTTGAA